TCTTATTTACGGCCCTGTAGCTTGAGTGATTTCCAATTTACTGTGCTGCTATATTAGGTCAATATATAATACCTCGGGCCACTCCAGAAAGATTAACCAGAAGCGGATTCCCTTTCCAATCAAATAGTCACCGCTATAAATTAGAGTTTCTTTTACTGTGTTTGATTGCATTTCTGCCACTTTCCCTATCAAGTGCAATAAAACAAACACCCTCGGCAGCCCCGCCACTCCCCGGCGCCTAATCTTGTGAGACAAAGATGTGTAACCGCAGAATTTGGGAGACTCCGTGCCATATGTACGACTGGCTGCAGCTTCCACCTACACTCCTCCGAGTCTGTGGTTTGCTGTTTCCCCCTCGGTTACTGGAAAGAGTTTTCCCTGGTATAAATTTTTTCCATCTTGCATTTTACCTCCATGCAGGATTGCTAAGGTTTTTTTTTTTGTTTGTTTGCATCGTGATTCCCACCTGGAATGTCTAAGGCTTTCTTTAAAACACAAAGGTGATGTGAAGACTTCAGCCACAAATTATTTTCCAAACTCTTTTCATCTCTAGTACACCCATGGTTAAAGTAAAATGCTAGAAAATATGAATTCTAGAAGTGCAAAATTGAGAAGACAGAGATTTCCATCTCTTTTTCTTTTTATCGTCAATTTTTTTCCACATGCCTCATGATTTTGACAGTCCTGACACAATATTTTTGCACACCCAAAGATGGCAAGGCTGCCTGATGCCATGACATCCAGACGCAGTCAAAATACCCTTTTCTTTGCACTTGAAAATCAAGACTGAAGCAGTCTGTGTACACTCACTATTCCAAAATTAGACTGCACATAAATTTAACATGTTCAAATAATGGGCTTGCATATGCAGACAGTCAAGCAAAAGGTATATTTTTCTATTACAAGTAACTTGTTAGACAAGATATTTCAGCTTCCTAAGATATTAATGGATACTCAGTAAAGGTCTTTTTAGAATGATAATACACTTAATTTTGTTTGCAGAGTCAGTAACAATTAAATCCCTTTTCGTATTACAAAGCATATGCCAATGTGACATGGTAGCAGCACCTCCCGGAGCAGTCCTATCCCAAGCTACGAACCAATATTTTCCTTCTTTGCTTCTTATTTGAATTGCAAAGAACAGTTTAAAAAAGAAAGCCGAGATCCTGAGGCATGCAGCCAGCAGCAAAACGAGGATTTTTTTGAGTCTACATGCCAACTATTTTCATGTGGGGCTGTGAAGGAGAACGCGGTTTTATGGCATCTCCAAATCTGGAGCAAAAAGCAAAGCAGCTATGGGACTAAATGCAGAATAAGATCCCACCATTCGAACTTGGCATTGACAAGAAGCAGCCCTGCATCCAACAGAACCACAACTGTTCCATGCCAATGAGGGTCTGAGGGTCCTGGGGTGCAGGAGGAAGGTTCCATGGGGTGTCCCAGCTATGGACATTGCGATGGAGAGGCAGTGAACCGGGGCCTGCAGGGTTTTTTGGTTTTTTTTTTTCCATGGGACAGACCCTTGCAGGAAGCATAAGCCAAGGCCACCACAATGGGCCAGAGAAATGCATTAGTCTTCCATGTGAAGACCTCTCTGTGATGATGGAGATTGGTCCACCTTCGGCATCTGTGAAGCCCTAAGGGGGTGCAAACACCATGTCTGAGATGACAGGTCGGTGGGGACAGCTCCAGATAGTTCTGGGAAATCTTGGATTAAGATGGGACAACCAGTTGAGAAAGGAAATGGTTTGAGCAGCCGCATTTGAGGGATGCTGCGGAAGCTGGAAACTGGAGGAAAAAAGTGAAGTAACTCAACCACACAAAAATCATCGCCTAAAAGAGCAGTTGCTGGGTACAGCATGGCTACTAGGAAAATGGAGCAGCAAAACTAGTCTGTAGAAACTTCTAAGGAGTTACAGATAAGGAGTGAATGGACAGTTCAGGTTGTAGCGGAGATATTAACTCACTGGGAAGAAAACCTCAACTCTTTCCATCCAGGAGCTGTGCCATGGCTGGACCTCCCCATGCTCACACGTGGCTTTGGCATTGCAATGGGAAGATGTCACCCCACGTCCACCCCCCACCCCTCTCCACAGCCAGGGCTGAAGTTCACTACTAAAGAGTTGCGTGCCCTTGACAAAGCTTTTCATTGGAGAGTCAAGTTTGTGCAGTCCCGGTGGTGGCAGCCAAGGAGATTTAATTCCAAACACATTTACATTATTATGCAAATATTTGGAAATCATCAACTCCTTCACTTACCTACTAAGAGCTGAGTTAAGTGTTTCCATGGGAACACCAACTATTAACCATTATAGTTAATATTTTTATTCTGGTAGTGTCCAGAGAGCTCAATGAAGATTGAAGACAGCTTGTACAAGGTGCTGTACGAATGTGGAAGATGAAAAAGTCTCTTGTTGAAAGGCAAAGATTAATGTTTTATGAGCTTCAAAGTCAAGTACCTGGACTTGTAAAAACATGGCCAAATTTGCTTGCAACTAGTCCAGAAGCTTCTCCTACACCATTTAACCAAATCAAGAGCCCTATTCATACAGTTTTGCCTTGAATCCTATAGCATTTCACGGTCAGATAGAGGCCTTAGTGACTATCCCAGCACAATCCAGCCCCATAATATCAACCCAGTTCTAGGGACGTGAGAATCCCTCCCTATGCCTCTAATACTTAGCTGAGTACAAATTTAAGTTAAAGACATGTGAGATTAGCAGTGGTGAGGTCATGGGGGTGGGCAGGACATCATCAAGGGGATCCTGAAAATCAAAGGGGTTGATTGCTCCCTTCCACATGTGGTCAAAAGACAAGTCTGGACTCAAAAGACCATAAAAACCACAAGATTTTTGAGAAGAAATGAATGCACTTTGGGTTGGTTTTTTTTCCCCCTCAGGTTTCAAGTTCACAGCCATAGCCAGGTTTCAAGCACCTTTGAAATTTATCTGAAGAGAGTGACCAGAGCAGAAGCTGCCATCCCACCTAACCTCTGGATGGTGGTGATGCTCACAGACGTGGAGGTGCCAGACTGGAAACCTCCTCCCCACTGCCACAGGCTCTCCTGCCCATCTTCCACGCCAGATGGCAGGAACAAGACCTGGTTGATCCTCCTCCTTCATCTTTTTTCCTCCCAATATATTTCTGCACTTGCTTTTTTCTTTTCTTTCCTTTTTTTTTTTTCCCCTCATGTGTAATGAGGCTTACCCAGCTGAGACTGATCCACCTTTCCCAGCATCACAGCGATAGAAAAGCACAGCTCTAAAGGCAGCATGTTCCTGGATGGGTTATTCCGAAAGATTCTCCAAAAGGTAGCTTCAAAATCCAGCCTATAGAGACAATGGTGTGACACAAGGTCTGTGTCTCCATGGGGAACCTCAGAGGGGTCCAAAACCCAACGAGATTGAACATACAGAGCTCGTGGTGTGGCTGTCCAAGCCTGCTACATCCCCAAGCCATCAATGCGGTGGTTTCCTGCCCCCATGAACTCCCCCAAGGCAGCCTGTAAAGCAATAAATCATCAGAGGTAGAAGATGCACTTCATTTTCCCACTCTGCATTGTGAACCTGTTTTGCCTTTAAAAGGACAAGACTTCAAACAAACACAACAAGTCAGGAATGATTATCTCAAATCACCGTCTCCTCCCCCTCACCCGGGCCAGATCAGGCTGACTTGGGAGTACGAGATCAAAACTGGAAGGCAATGCTCTTGCTATAAAAGCCTGTGCAATTTTAAATGATTGACAGGACCGTGGGAATCTGTTTAAATCGTAAGAATCAAACACCACACAAATAAATTTTAAGTTTTGAATGAATGCAACCAACTCTCCTCTTTGCTATTGAGCAGAAATTTGAAAGGCGCTTGAAGGGGCTCATTTGCACAGGATGATGGAGCGACAGCGACACAAAACCTTGTGATATTTGCTCCTCTCCCTTTCCTGATACCCAAAAATAAACACAACCTCATCCTGAAAAACTCCCACCGCAACGCTCTGCCTTGCAACTGCCAGAGAAACGGAAGCTGGCAATTTTTCCAACTTTTTTTTCAATGTTTTGTTTAAAATGTCAACATGCATTCATGAAAACTGCAGCCACCATTGCTGAAGAACAGATAAGGCTTGCTCTAAATGGGTGGCTTTGGTGGCATGTGTCGCTCCCCATGCCACCCCTCTTGCAGAGACCAGCCTCCTACCCACTGTTTCTGCAGCAGGGTTCATTAAAGAAATGGGCACCAGCGTTGCCAGCAACTTCCACCGTGGCAGCTCGGTCGCAATGATGGGAGCTGCTGAGCTGTCCTTGCAGGAGGCAACACTTCCACGTCTGCTCCAAGTGCTGCCGTCCCAACCCATGAGACTTGCGAGACAGCACACAGCCCCAGCCTTTCTGGTCAGCACCTTCTGACCTTCTCTGTGCCAGGACTAGAGGGCTGCAGTGCAACACAATGGCTTTTCAGAAGATGCTCGACCCAGTTGGGTTCATTAGGGAACAGATGCCGTCCATCCCAAATGCTATGAGTGCAATGAGTTGAGCCAGGCAGCACTAACCCATGCAAAGACAACAATTAGGGCAACGAATGTCCCTGGATCTCAAGGAGGAGGAAAACACAGACAGCAGCTGGAGGTTCACCTTGAACGTGGCCTCCAAAAAGTGTCTTTCTAGGGAAGAGGGATGTGTTGGAGCATCCAAAGGAGACATCACACCTCTTGTCACCCACAAGTGCCAACCCTTGTCCCAGGACAGGTGATGACACTCCTATTTGGCATCCCAAACTTTGGCGCTGAGACACCCAAGTCCAGCACTCATTGATGAGCTGAACTATAGAAATGCTGGTCCCAACTGGTGTCACACAGACACCAAGAAGAAAAGCAACTCATTTCTGTACAGACTGAGCTCCTCTTGCTTTCAAGAGCTGGTTTAGACATTGGCTGGGAAGGATGGGATGGTCTTTTCAAAAAAATCACCAGTACATGTATGTTTGCAGGAGGAAAAAGAAGGTCTTACCTGTTTCTCCCCATATTGGCAAATATTCATCCTGCTGTATGTCTAGCATGATTTCCAGTCCATTGCCTGTCCCACCTTTAACCGTAGTAAGAAGAGGCCGTCCTTCTTCTCCTGAGTTAAACATGTAGCATTTCCCATATTTTGTAAACACCTGTGAGAGGAGAAGAGAGAATATAATATTTCCCATATAATGAACAACTCTTCCCACCCAAACGCAGGCAGAGGGATGAGAAACGGCCACGCGCTGCAGCTTGAAAGGAAATGTCTGCAGATAAATCTAATCTGGTTTAATCATTTAGCATATTGTGTTCTCCTTACAGAAAATAAAAGATGGAAGAGAGGAAAGGAAAGCTGTTTTAGAGCAATGAACAAATGTCTTCAGCAGCTCACTGGAGTCACATCGTGTTAAGTCTCTGAGAAACACACGTACATGCTGTGTTTGAGCTTGTACTAAAATATAATCAATTCACTGTTTTTGTGTGAGGCATCTCAGTCCACCACCGCTGCTTGCTCATGGCTGCAGACCTAGAGCTGCGCTCATCCCCAAAGGATGGAAACACTAGCACTGAAGCCCACACTTACTCCATGCTCATCCAGCTGCTGAATATCAAACCTCGTAGACACAGTTCATGCCCACTGCTTTCCACCCAAAGGGAGCAATGCGAATGACGCCTGTGCTCTCCCGACACAAAAAAATACAATATCCCGTTAATTCCTCACTCTACCACTACCTGGCAAATAGCAGGAGTTGAAAACACTTGGGCAAATGAGGAAAGATTTCCTCCGTCACTTTTGCTTTTCTTTAGTCTCATTTGGGCCTGTCTCTTGAAAGAAACTCTAGGCAAAGCGCAGGTGAGGGCTTCCAGGCCACCACCAGCTCTGCAAAGCAGGGCTGACATGGGCTTCCAAGCGGGGTTGGACATGGGTTTCCAAGCGGGATTGGACATGGGTTTCCAAGTGGGGTTGGACACAGGTTTCCACGTGGGGTTGGACATGGGTTTCCAAGCAAGGTAGCTCTTGCTGGGGCGGCAGAGATATGACATCTTTGATCATGGTGCATTGATGGTCTTGGGCATTGACCTGTCCTGCGCTCAGCCTTCCCCCGAACTGGAAGAACACATGGAAAACCAAAGATTAACATACAACAAGTCCCTCCAATGCCTTGCACTGACAGACTGAGGGACATGCAGATGTGCAGAACTTCTTCCGATAGTAAAAGAGGATAAAATGGCTCACAGCCATTTAGAAATCCCCCAACCATTGCATGTGGTGAATTCTGACAAGCACCAGCATGAAATCCGGAGCATGAGTTGTCTTTGAGTCACTCTGCTGCTTTGCAGCTCCAGAAAGTCCAGGGTTTGCAATCAGCAAGCAACCGGCAAACACCAGTAATGAATATTCAGAGTGAAGGGAGCCCAACACCAAGCGGCACGCTGGCTGCAGTCCCATCAGAAATCACAAGCTGCTAACGCAGTTGCTGAGATCATACGACCCCAAGATGATTCATAAAACTAAACAGAAGCTGGAGTCATCAGCGATTTATTCCCCTCAAATATTGACATATGCCTTATAATCACAGCATCAGGGAAGCAGGTGAAGAAAGAGAAAAAATGAAATCATTCAAGTTTAAAACCTCCAATTGGAGCAAAAAGGATGCGGAGAATATGAAGTGTTTGGAGGAAATAAAGATGCCCTTTAAAAAAGATTTTATATCCAAGTGAAAATCCCATTTTAATACTTGACTGACCTATTAAACCATTCAGGCTGGAAAGATAAGCTGAACAACAGGGAGCCTGTGTTAGCAGCCAGTGCCTGTAGATGGGTTTTCCCAGACAGGCTTTGAAGGCAGAAGTCAAAAATATCTAATTAGGATAGTTTAAAATCCAGCAAGAAGAAAACTTGCATTAGTGAAAATCACGGGAAAACAAGCAAGCTTATATCGAAAGCAACAGCGCAACGTAAATGCTGAATAAGGATCTGGATGCTGATGTACCCAGTGCAGTTTTTAGTCAAATAAATTCAGGCAATTTTATGGGGTTTTTTATACAGCCCTTTGCAGCTGTAAAAATTTAAGTGTAAAACCCCCAGTTAGGGCATGTTTATGCAACAAACACGATCTAAAGTGACAGGGGCCCGAGGCTCACTTCAGCTGCATGTCTGGGACCCCAATCCCAGAAAAAGAAATCAAATGGTGACTTGAAAAGGAAGGGACGTTCCTCCAACCCCTCCGCTCTACTGTCAGCACGCAACCATCAAAGTCCACGAAAGGTTCATCTGCCATGACCTTGGCAGATGTTTCTCTTGTGTAGTAGGAGAAGATGGGCAACATAACGTGGGATGTGTTGACACACGTATAGATGAAATGCAACTGCTTCCCAGCACCACATCTGCTCCTGAGTAGTGGCAACCCCCAGGGACCACCTGAGGACCAGCTTAAATTCAGGTGCTGCTTCCATCATCTGCATCAGTCCTAGGATCCTGCAAGGAAATGTTTCCGAGCAAGCCTGATGATTTTCTGCTGCTCTTTAGAAAAGAATCATTTAGGTTGGAAAGGACCTTTAAG